AGAGGAGGAAGCAGAAGGCAGGAGAGGTCATAACAGATACCTCATAGCTAAGCTGGACGCCCAGGCTCAGGGTTCCCAGCACAGCATTGTGTCCAACCCCTGACAACTCAGCCATGTCTGTCTTTCTCCTGGGATGAAGCTGCTGCTGTTGGCTTCTCAGGGGAGAAGCCATGGGGCACCCCCATGGGACTGCTCATCCCCTTCATTCCCTAAGCAAAGGGAGTGAGCCAGCAGCAAGAACCCACAGCATCCTTGGGAGCACTGACCCAGGCCCAAAAGTCAACAAACCAAACAGCTCAGAAAGCACAGAGAGGTCAGGAAAGTTGCCCTAGGTCACACTGCTAGTGAGAAGTACAGCCAGGGCTCAAAACCAGGCAATCAGGCTCAGGGCCTGCACCAGTGACCCACACTAGTGTTTTTCTAACACTCTGATTATGACCTATAGTAAGAATTATATTTTACAATGTGCCTCTGCTGTAGATAGATATAGATATATGTATATGGGTTTGGGTATAGGTGTGTGTGAAGTGTGTGTATACATTTTTTTTAACTAGAACAAAAAATTACACAAAACAATATTTACTCTTACTATATATAATGTTTTCTGATATTTTTACTCTTTTCTATTTCATTTTGGTCACTAAATTGATGTCATGAACAATGAATAGGGCTGAGACATACAGTTGGAAAAAAAAAAAAACTCACCTAAACTGATTTAAGATGGCTCTAAAATCACACTGATCTGAATTTGAATCTTGCTGAAGCAAGATTCCACTTCCAAGTCAAGGGGCCTTGGGCAAGGTGGTTGACTTCTTTAAAGCCTCAGTTTCCCTATGGGTAAGATGGGCATAATAATAACAGCTGCCTCATAACGGTGCTCTGAGAAGCCAGCACTATGAACAGTGCTTGGCCTAGAGCCTGGTACACAGCAGACATGCAGCAAGCAGCAGCTACACTGTTACCACCTCCTCCTCGGGCTGCTGCTCCCAGGCTCAGCATGGGGCTATGCACACAGTGGGCAGCTCACGGGCACATTGAGCCTGCAGCCACTGAGAAAGCAGGCACGTACCCAGGACCAGCTGAGGCAGTGGGTACCTTTGGACTTTCCAGGGCAGGGAGCAAGCAGAGAAAGTCCCCAGTGCCCGCTGAAAAGGCAACTTTGTTCCTGGATTATAGTAGTTCTCTTCAATCATCTTTTTGCCTTTGAAGGGGGAAAGAAGGGTAAAACAACAAAGTCAGGGTCAAAAACTGTCCTGGAACAAGGCTCCCTCTGGAAACCAGGCATGGAATGAGCATGGCACCACACACCAGCACCCCCAAATCCACTCAGTGGAGCCACCGCAAGCCAAGGCCTCTGAGTGAGGGGCCCACCAGCCCACACAGCCTTCTGAAGTTAGGAAAACATCCTCCGGCCTGAGCCCATTAGCAAGGCTGTGGCCTGAGGGAAGACAGCCCCTTCCTGCTAACAGGGTCCTTTTATGCTCTACCTCCCTCCTCCCCAGGGCCCCAGCTCTATGCTCAAGGCCAGCAGGCTTGGGCAGCCCAGCAAGTCAGCCAATCCGCTCCAGGGTGACACTATTTCTTGTGACTGAGAGGTTCTCCTCCCTACCTCTTCCAATCTGACCAGAAAGCTGGAGTCCAGACACCAGTAACACTTCATGGAAGACTTGCAGCGAGGAGACAAGGCCTCATGACGAGATGCAACATACAGTGGTACCACCCAGCCCAGCAGGCACTGCCCACTCCCCACCGCGGCACCACATAGTTCTGCCGTTACACCTCAGAGACTGGAATGTGGTTCCAAGTCAGACACCGAGAAGGCAGCTAAAGACTTTCTCTGTGTACCAACCCTGCATGCCTCCTGGCCTTTGCACATTCCATGCCCTCTGCCTGTAATACTTTTAATAAACCTTTCATCACCTAGCTATTTCCTATTTATTCTTTGGGTCTTAACAACTTACGCATCACTCCCTAATCCGAAGTAGAATCCTCCCTTATTCTCCTTCCCCATACTTTTCCTTCACCACACTTAGCACACTGGTACCACACTTAGCACACATCTGGGTGATCACTAGCAAACAACACTGGCAAGCTGCGAGAGAAGGGGTGACATCTTCTTTATTCTTTAACTTGCCGAAATGAACCCATTTCTACCCTTAAAACAACTCCATGAGGTAGGAACCATTGCTCTACCCATTCCACAGATGTGAAAACTGAGAATCAGAGATGAGCCATCACTTGGCCCCACTGTGCTGGGGAGAGGTGCAGCTGGGACTCGGATCCAGGAAGTCTGATTCTATAAGTTCTAAGCACACCTCTGGCACCTTCTATGGGCACATGCTGGTCTTCAGCATAAAGTCTCCCAGCCCACATCTTTTGTTTGTTTGTTTGAAACAGAGTATCACTCTTGTCACCCAGGCTGGAGTGCAATGGCATGATCTTGGCTCACTGCAACCTCCATCTCCTGGGTTCAAGCAATTCTTCTGCCTCGGCCTCCCAGGTAGCTGGGATTACAGGTGACTGCACCATGCCCGGCCTTTTTTTTTTTTTTTTTTTTTTTTTTTTTTTTTTTTGTATTTTCAGTAGAGGCAGGGTTTCATCATGTTGGCCAGGCTGGTCTCGACCTCAGGTGATCCGCCCATCTCGGCCTCCCATCCCAGCCCACATTTTTACTTACCCTTCCTGTGCCTCCCACATTGCTCTCCCACCAGACTGAAATATACTGTGCACAGCTTCCTGGCACTGAGGCTTTGCTTGGCCTGCACTCTCTGCCTTGGATGCAGCCTGAGTCCAGCTCTCCCTGGCTGGGCTAGTGACTCTAACTTGCTGGGCTGGCCTCCTCATCTATGTGATAGCGGAATAATACCTAAGGCAGTTGTGAGGATTCTACAAGAGAATGCATTATGTATTAGGCACAATGTTTAGTGCATATGATACTCACTCGTGTGTCCTTTTATCACTAACATACTACTTCTCTACCACCACCACCATCAGAATCTTAAAAGTCTAAATCAGCAAACACAAGCCAGAGTACTACAGGCCAAATCCAGTCGTCTGAGTCACCCAAAAAAAGTGTTTTCTAAAAATTTTAATTGGTTAACAGTAATTTTTTAAATTGGAAAAGTTTCACATAAAAATCCAGACAGCTGGATTTTCTTAATGATCAGCCCATGTGGCAACACCAGGGTCATATTCCCACATGGCAGTGATTGGCTGGGGTTGAGTGGCACTGCCCCCTTGAGGCAGGGTGTGTGTTCCCCAAAGGTCACCCCGGTTCCCACCCCTCTCAGATGTCTCCCACTGAGCCGGTGGCATTCATTCATATGACCTCTCTGGCCCCTGTAGGTCCTTAAGTTTCTAACCCCTGATCTCAGTCTTACCACTCTTCAAATCCCTACTCACATGCCCACCTCCTTCAAAAAAACCCTCCCCAACCTCCACAGCCCTGTGCTTCCCTTATGGTTTTATACTTTAACAGTTAACTTGCACTGAGTACTTCATGCAAAGATCCAAAGTGAAATATTAGCCTATCAAATGCGGTCACATTTAAAAGAATAATCTATCATGACAAAGAATTTTGCAGGGCCAAGAAGGTTGCACTAGGAAATCCAGCAATGTAAATCAAGCATACAAATCACACACCACGTTAGCAAAGAATGATCCATTCCATCTGCATCCCAACAGCATGTGACAACATTCAATAATTATTCCTGATTTTACAAAGCTCAGAAAGCCAGGAGTTGAAGGAAGCTTTCTTAAACAAAAAGTATCATACTTGGTAGTTGTTAAATAGAGTATGAGAGATTCTAACCAATGCAATAAGAGAAGAAAAATTGATGAAAGGCAATGGGAACAGCTTAGTTCCACTCTCACAGAGGCAAAAACTATGTCCTAGTCCTCACAATTTCCACAACACCCTAAGCACAGCACGTGGGATAGAGAAAGCAGTCAAATATTTGTGGAATGAATAACACCCCGGATGAGTTCTGACCCCTGGTACATGTTCTCAAAACATCCAGTACTTTTTGGAGGCACATATCACAACTTAAATTGTACAACTTGTTTATGAAAATATTTCTGTTTTCCTATGAGATGCCAACTTCCATGAAATCAAGGCCTTCACTCTAGGTACTAAGCATTTCTAGGTGTCCCTGGCCTAAAGCAGGTACTCAATGCCTGCTGCAAGAGACACAGGGGCCTACTGGAGGGTGCGGGGTGGGAGGAGGCTGAAGATCTAAAACTACCTATTGGGTACTGTGCTTATTACCTGGGGGATGAAATAACCTGCACATGAACCTCCTATGACACACAATTTACCCATATAACAAACCTGTACATGTACCCTGAACCTAAAATAAAAGTTAAAAATATATATATAGGGCTGGGCACAGTGGCTCACACCTGCAATCCCAGCACTTTGGGAGGCCAAGGCAGGAGGATCATTTGAGGCCACGAGTTCAAGACCAGCCTGGGCAACATAGTGAGTCCCTGTCTCTAAATTAAAAAAAAAAAAAAAAAAAAAAAAAAAAACCCTACTGCAGATGCATGAATGAATGCACTCAATAGACAGTGCTAAATTACCATGATTTTATTCTACTTCTCAGCTGGAGAATCTGAAGCCCAGGCAGGGAGTCTTTGGCTGAGGCCACACCAATGTGAAGCCCTCTCAATACCCTGGTGTCCTCTGAAAGGCATCAGCCATACACAAGGCCACACACACATGCCACAGCCCATGTGACTTAACAAGTAAGGAAAGCGAAGCCCAGACCCATGCCTCAGAGCCCTCTAAACAAACACATCCAGGACCCACCCTGGCGGGCCACGCCGCCACCACTCTGAGGCTGGGGATGACTTCAGTGCGGAGACCTGAGGCTTTCCTCCCAGAGCCCCACGACTGGTGCCCACACGGCTAAACAGCTCCCTTCTGCCTTCCCAGGAAGCTATCAAAGAATTACTTATGTCTCTGGAAGTGCTTGTTTAGAGAAGGTTCTCCACCCCACCTGGGCTTGGCAGGAGCGCAGCATCACCAGGCTGCCCTTCGGGGCTGCTCAGGCTTGCCTCCAGCCCCTGGAGGAGCTCGGTCATCCTTCACGCGGAGAGTCGAAGCCATGAAGCAGTGGGAAGCTTCCCAGGATAAACGGAGCAGGGTGACATCAAAGTCCTCCTTCCAGATTAAACAACTGAGGCCTTCAACTCTCGCTGGCGTTCCTTCCAGGATATTCTGGGCTCCTGCCTCAGTTCTCCCTCCGACGGAATGGCAGATATTTTGTTTCTGAGAGACTGAATTTTTTTCCTTCCTCAGGGAGAGGAGGAGGAGGAGGAGGAGGGGGAAGGGAGGTAGGGAGGGAGAAGAAGAGAAAGAATGTCTGTGAGAGACAAGAGCGGCAAAAAGAACACGTGTGAGTGGGCAAGAGAGAGGGAAGGCAAGGAGGCAGCCGGAAGTGCCTGGTTTGGAATCCAACAAGTGATGTGAAAAATCCAAAAGCATCTAAATCCAAGCATGTTGTGATTCACAGCCATAGGGCGAGGCTGCAGGACCCCCAAGCTAGGAGGATTCCAGAGCACCTGGCTCACCAGTGCCAGGAGGGCTGCACATCCTGTCTCAGACAGCCTTGCTCAGCCCACACGGGGGACCCTCTTTCCATAGGCACAGGCACGCTGCAGCTCTGGGGCACGATGAGCTCTCTCTGGGGTTCGCTGGTCACTCCCTCATGTTCCCTGGTCCCTGAAGTGCCTCCTTCTTGAGGAGCAATCCCACCCCACAGGTCCCCCGTAGCCCTGACAGCTGGGCTTGCAGTCCTGCGGCTAGCCTCCTCCCCAACATGACAGCAGGGCCACCCACGCAAATAGGCCGGGTTGTGCCCCCAAGGACCTGTCCGTGACACAGGGGCAGCACGCTGACTGCCCGCCCTGCTCCACCCGACATACCTGTCCAGAGGGACAGACAGGTAACTCAGATGTGCCAAGAGCCACCAACATGCGAGGCTTTCCACAGACAGTGCCAGGAACGACTTCCAGTTCCCACAGGCTGCAGAGCCACTTGGAGGCCACATTCCCTTCTTGATTACCCACTTGATTCCACACAGAAGCCTCCTGGCAACCCCCTACCCCATCTTACAAGGGCAGCTTGAGCCTGGGGCCTTGGTCAGCTCTTCCCCCAGTCTCCAACTCCTTCCTCCTCTTTCCTCAGCTTCAGTGGCCCGTCCTACCCCCTCCCTCCCAGAGTGCCTCTGTGTAGTCCTAGGAATGGGCCTGCGTGCTCACTGCTGCTTTGTCCCCTTCATCAGACTGGAAGCCACAGGAGGGCAGGAACCACGTCTCTCTTATTCTCCACTGTATTCCCAGAGGCTGGCCCAGTTAGGGACTTATTAACTCATAATTAATAACAAGGCCAAGTGTAGTGGCTCACATGTGTAATCCTAGCACTTTAGGAGGTTGATGTTGGAGGATGGTTTGAGGTCAGGAGTTCAATCCAGCCTGGGCAACAAAGCGAGACCCAATTGCTACGAAAAAATAAAAATAAATTAGCCAGACACAGTGGCATGCACCTGTAGTCCCAGCTACTCGGGAGGCTGAGGCAGGAGGATCACTGTGAGGCTGCAGTGAGCTATGATGACGCCACTGCACCCCAGCCTGGGTGGTAGAGTGAAACTGTCTCTAAAAAATAATGATAAACAAAGAATTATTGATAACAATTTATATTAATTCATTAAGCTGAGTGCCTGAAAGAAAAGGCCTGGTTCTACCCTTCCACTCCAGACAGGAGGACCTGGGAAAAGATGGAATTTGGAAGCAGGAATTAAAGAGAAGAAGCTGCCCAGGGAAGAGGAGCTGGGGGAAAAGCAGGCAGGGAGGGTATCTTCATTTATTTCTTCTTTTTTTGCTGCTGACAGTTCAGCCTTGATGTTTCATGCCCTCACGGGGAAAGTTTGATCCCAGAGTGTACCTGAGCTTCCTGGTACAAACAGCAACACTGTCCATCAATCCGTCCATCCCTACCTTCCAACATCCCCACTGGGCGAGCAGAGGAAATGTCCCCTGAGTTCTAGGACCTTGCAGGACCCATAGCAGGTGCCTCCTGGATTTGATTTCCCCCAGGTTTCCTACAAAAATGTGAATGAAGAGGGTGCTCCTGGGCTCTAGAGAACAGAAGGCATGCATAGTCTGGGTCAGGGGCATCCGGCCTCCTTCCCCAAGAAGAAAAGTCTCAAAGTGAGGACAAGATACTCCTCGAAGCCTCTACCAGAGACCACATCACAAAGCCCCATTAAAGCACTAGGAAGATGACACCCATGGCCGCCACTCACCCATCCTGTGGGACCTATGGAAAACCAGAAGGTCCCCCCAGTCCCTGGCACTCTGCCCAGCCCAAGTTCTCCCAGCCTCTGCTTCCCACCCCCCAGGAGGAAAGACAGTGCCCAGGCTGGGCCAGGCAGCTGGCCCTGGTGCCCGTGAGTAGAGGGGACCCTCCCCGGAGAACTCGAAAATGCCAGTGAGCAAAGCCCAAACACCTCCACCCTGAGTCCTTCTCCAGCCTTAAAGCAAATCATATTTTAATCCTGAAACACCAAATATTTAATTTATGCTCTACCTCAAATGTCAAGCCCACCTCCCAGCACATAGCTTTGAAACCACGTAAAGAAGCCTAACACTTTCCATATGGTAAAGACATGGGGCCTTTTAATTGTGCCAACTGGTATCATTCAAGGGTAATTCCCTTGGAATCTGGCGCTCGGGCAACAGCTGGGCCAGCCTCTAATCTCATCACCCAACCCCACGTGTCCCCATGGGACATGTAAGCCTGCACCCTCCTCATCTTCTCCAAATATCCAAATGTACTAGGTGCCCCCAGCCAAATTACCAAACTGCCTGGCAGCCGCCTTTGATCCAGAGGCAGGCTTGCCTGCACCATGGCTCTCAGCCTATTTCTTCAGGCAGCTCTGCTGTACAAGAACAAAAGGGCCAATCGGGGCCGTGGGGAGGAGATTGTTTTAAATCTGGTTGTACATATTCACAATCGGCCTGTGAGTGTATACAGAGGCACACAGGTCTTCACCAAGTGTCTCCCACCTGATACCTGAGTCCCCTGCACTATTTAATCAATCTATTAAGCTTTTTCACTTGTCCATTCTATCTTCCACACCCAGTGTTTCCAATTGGTTTTCTTCTCTAACTGCCTGTTGCTGCTTCATGTTTCCAGCATCCTCCGTTGTCTCTCTGAGTTTATGATGCTTATTTTGCTTTCTAATTCTGTTTAACACAGTGTTCTCTGGCGTGTGTGCTGGTCAGTTTATTGCTTCTCTTCTACAGTACTCATGTGCCTCCCATTTCTCATTCCTTTTCTCCTATGAGCCCATATTCCCTTGGACTTGCTCATGTCCCCATGGAAAGGGCAAAAGCCCAGCCCTTGGCCTGCGTCCCTCCAAGTGAGCCTGCCATGAGAGTGGGGGAGGCAGAGAGCCTCTGGTGCTCTTATCCCAGCCCTATCACTCCCTGTTTGTAGGCCCCCATCTCCAACCCTACAAATGTCTTCAGTGAATCTCTCAGTAGGCTAACTTCCTTCCCAGGTTCAATGGTTATAATCCCATCATAACCCGCCAGGGACGAAAATATTATACCCATTTTGCAGATGAGCTAATTAAGGTATACAAGGGTAAAATGGTTTGCACAGGTGACAAATAACTAGGACACAGCCTGACCTCATTTATTTCTGTATTTAAGAGGGCAGGCTTAGTTTAATGCCAGCATGGTCACCCTTTCACATCTCAGGACCCTGTGTGCAACTTGGACTCATCTGGGACATTTCCCAAGTTCATCAGATCCTGTCAGGAAGGAAGAGGGCAAACAGGGGCCATCCTGCTTCTGCCTGCCCCACGACTGGCTCATCTCGAAGCATCCCCTCTCTGGGAGTTTTGTATGCAGCACCCTCCAGGCGGATGTCCTGGCACAGGGCTTCTCTACACATGGCTTCTCCTAGAAACTCCAGAAAGGGAGAAACACACAGTCCACACCAGCGGGCTGTCAACACTACAAGGTTATGGGGAGGATTAAGATAATGTAAGCAAAGTGCTTGACACATATAGGCACTTAATAAATACTAGTTATTATTGCAATAACAGTAATACTAGTTGGATGAGCCACTGTGTCTCCAGCCACTTAGTTGACAGGCCACATAAACGACTGGAGGCAGAGACTAGCCCCAAAACAGGCTTGGGGTTGGTGGGAGGACCTCTGCCAGCCCTTAGAAACCAGCAGACTTTGCAGCCCATGCCCTCCTACATCCTGATAATATCATGGAAGAACCTACCAGCTACCCCTTCGGCACCAGAGGGAATCGAGGAAATGAACTAGCCTGAGGGTTGCCCATTGCTGTCCTGTTCAATATCTCAGTGCTTCCCAAACTGGGCATTCCGTTCCCACATTCACAATTTTGACCACTTGTACTTAATATTTTTCTCTGAATCGACTTCACATTAGACTCTTTTTTAAATTAGCTTCATCCTAAGCAAAAATATCTGCAAAATCATGGGTTTGATGTCCTAGCTATTTTTTTTTTCTGGTTAAAAAAAAAGATAACTATTAAGATTTAAAATGTTCATCCAGGTACCACCTGAAATCACCTGGAGGACGCCTGGAGTGCTGTTCCACACCCTGGACTCCCCCTGAAGGTCTGACTCCTTATTACTACCTCTGCAGACACACTGGCTGGGCCATCTGGGGCCAAGGTTGGTGAAAACCCAGGCGTCTGGGTCCCCAGCAGCAAGAACAACTCCCAAGGAGACAGAGGCCGGCCCCCTGCTTAACATCTTTGATGACTGGGGCCCACCCTCCAACCACCTGACACATGTCACACCAACGGCTCTGAGCCTCACATCTTCAAAAGTACTTTGAACAAACATTAATGACCTCTCAGCATTTCTCTGAGAGAGGGGGCGAGGGAGGGAGGGGGACAGGCACCATCCCATGCTGTCCTCAGCTAGGGGAAGAAACCAGGCAACAGAATTCCGTGACTTCACCAAAGCCACAGACTTAAGCTGGGGCCCCCTCCCCATCCTCCCTCACTTCCCCCAATGGTAACTTTTACTGGCCTGCATTCCTCTCGCTGGGAACACTACTATTTAATTAAAAACGACAGACTTTTGTTTTCCTCTCCCTCTTTCCTCCTCCCTCCCATCCTCCCAGACTGGATGCCAAGGAGACCCACCAAAAACATGCGGGTAACATTTGTTATGGCTTTGAAGATAAAAGTCAATTGAAGTAAGCCCTCGTTGTATTTCAAGTTTTCCCTCTAGCACGGAGCAAGCTGCCTGGCAGTTCAGGAAAAAAAGAAAAAGGAGGAACTGCAAATAAATGTCATTCTGCAGGAATACTTTGTACAAATAAACAGGCTGAAAAAACCCAAAACTTGATTAATGGAAATCCACTCAGTGGGCCTCTGTCTGGAGCTGCAAATGCATTTGTTCATATGGCTAAATTAGACCATTTTCGTTGGTCTTTAAATAAATAAGTAGATCAAAAACTAGAAAGGGCAGGAGAAGAAGGGAAGGTTTGTAGTTCTGTTTTTAAAGGGCCTCAACTGCAGTGCCCCCCACCCACCAAGATTTGACCTTTACTAGGGGACAGCAGCTCCAATTCCGACCAAGCCAACAGAAGACAGAGAAGCCCCCAGCTAAGCAGTGGTGGTGGAGGAGGACAGGGGAGCTTCTCCCAGGCCCAGAGGTTATTTCATCCACACACAGGAACTGACTTTATCCACAGGTCCACCTCCTGACACCAGCACTGCAAGCGGGCTGCCAGGTCCCACCACCCAAATACACACACATCTGAAGTCTCCACTGGCCTCTCCCCAGCCCATGGATAAGACCAAAGAACTAACCAGACCTGAGACTCAGTCTATTCCCCCTCTAAGTTAAAAAAAAAAAAAAAAATTAAATGTCACATCAAAAAGTTGATTCATCCTTTGATCCTAGGCTTGCGCGAGTTCCACGCAGACCGCCTGAAAGCCCCGTGCAGAGTTCCGGAGCTCACAGGACATCTGTGAACGCCAAGTCCCAGGCCAGGAGCTGGGGCTGGACTCACTCATTCCCATCACACTTAGTGCTCCTCCAGGAATTCCAGCCTCAGGGACCCATGGGGTGAAGGCTCAGGGCTGTGCCCAGGCTACAGTAGAATGAGGCCCTCTCTCTCATGTGCCAAGTAAGGGGTCTGCCAGGTCTCAGTCCCCCTAGATCTGCCACCCAGAGGGCCGCCTGCTCTGCTGGGGTTCCTGTACAGGTGGCACTGATGAATGCCACAGACAATCACAACATATTCAGATCCTGGGGCTAGCACAGCTCTACCCTCCACCCAGACACCCCAATACCGCCCTCTCCCTAGCCCCTACTCCACCTCCACCTTTGAATGCTGGTGGCAGAAACAAGGTAGAAGTCAGAGCAGGCCCCCAAATCCCTCCAGTACAGATATGCTTCCC